TCTCTATTCCAAATAGTCATATACCTAACCCTAGTTTCCTTCTTCTCTATGTTTGTGTGAGTATGTGCCTCTATAATAGCATAAGAAAACCCCGTATCCTTCAACAACTCTACCAAAAACAAAAACGTTAAAATATTGCTTCTAAAATTATCTTTTTATTATAAAGTATAGATAAAACTTGTCTCCTCCTCAAAGCTCTTGACCTCATATATAGCCCCTCTAAAGCTTTCTAAACTCTACCTAACCTCATTGCCTTTTCATTTGAGGCTTTAAATAATGATACTTGGTACGTCTTCTCGTAACAAATCCACAAAATAAAGTCTCTACATCATATAGCTCTTGGCCACACCATCAAAAACTTTAAAACATAATCCTAATTAACCAACAACCACACCATAATATTACACATGTCTATCACATTCCACTACAAACAAGTCTAGCATTCCTCCTCCAAGATCCTCTAACCACCACTACATTAATGATTTTCTCAACCACACCAAAGACATCATAGTGTCTTGCATTCAATGAGTCTCCCTCTACTTATTGCCTCATGGTAGTTTAGAGAGCCTCTTAAATAAAACTTGGGCTACTTATAGGTGAACTATAGATCTTAGTAAAAGGAAGATCTTGTCAACAGGGTTAGGAGGCTAGAAAAAACTACAAAACTATATAACACATTAATTTTCTATATCATATAGCTCTTAGCCACTTCATCAAAAACTATAAAAAGCAATCCTAATTATCCAATACATAGACCAAAAGCTTACCACAATCAAAGGTACATTTCCATCTCATCCTAATGTATCTTCTAATTAACTTGATGACTTGTTTGCTTGACACCCAATTGCCAAAACTTTTCATCAACTCAACAACATGTCATCTTAGTGCTAGTTAATTGCCAACTGATAACATTGAGCTCGGTCCAAAGCATCAATCACTTGCTTACATGATGACTAGTTGCTTGATGCAACCTAAATCATTAAGTTAAAGAATAAAAACTTTTAATTTGGTTTCTCTCATCACATATGGCCTCAAACTTTTCATTTTCATTCCTCTCTTAGGTTTAATTTTAGTCTCACCTTTGGCATGTCAACCAACAATTATCCATCCCCTTTAAAATATATATTGCTTTGATTATTTTTCATGTTTTTTCTTAGTGCAAAATTAAGGGGAAGGTAAGCTTAATCTATTTTTTATAGGTGATAAACAAAGTTATATATGGTCACTTAAGTTCCTATAAAATCATTGTCTTAAATTATTTTAAATAATTTTATTTAGCTTAGTATGTCAACTTGGACACATTCAACCTAATACATTCTCTTGGGGTCTTTTAAAGTCCTAAATACTTCTAATTTTTCATATTTTTAATCATAAAAGGAAAATCTAATTAAAAAATTAACTTCAAAACAATGGGAAAGAATATTGATGTAAATAGTATAATTTTAAGATTTTATTCCTAGAATTACCTTGCATAATTTTATGTTATCCTAAGCTAGATTAACTAAGTCTCGTTATTTTGGTCATTTAGCTTGTAATTCTAAGAACACAAATTTAAATTTAATTTTTAAGGATTTGCAAAAATGTGTGGTTTATATTACCATAATGTTCATTCTATGCAAACAAGCATACACACCGGTAAACACGCACTTCTCTTTTGTCTTAAATTCTTGTAGATTTTTCTAATGATTTGTATAGTATTGATTTTATTGATCCATAAGCATTCTAGGATTATTTCAAATTATTTAATAAATATTACAGTAATGTTGTCAATGAATTGACCCAATCTTATTAAAAAAAAATCCTATAATGCTTTTCTACCTATTCTTTAATATGTTATGGTCAAAGCCAAGGGAGTAGAAAGTTAGAAACTTGACTAGGTGATCTAGAATGTTTAATATTTTTTTTTTCTACTTCCATTCCATTGTCATTGTTTATCACATTTCAAACACTTGCAATAATTTTTCTACAATTGCTACAATTGCATGTGATGTTTTGAATGCTTTTGAACATTCAGATAAGCTCATCAAAAATATTTTTTCCTCAAAGATAAAGTAAAATAATACCAATTTTAATCCTTGGAAGAGCAATCTTCCCACATAATTATTAAATAAATATTCATTTCATCGATAACTTGAAATAACACATCAAACTATCAAAAGCCGTGTGTTAGAACTAGTGCATCGATATAGGTAACATGCCTAGAGGTGAAGAATATATAATACTTTTATAAGCATTACATTTAGGAAATTCTTCATCTATGAGTGTTGATATAAGACTTACTATATGCAGGTCCTTCTAATTTTAAATAGATCCAAAGCAATACTTTCTTTTTTCGGTCAAGGTATATTGAGTCTATTATATATGCTTATTTTCCTATAGTTATAAATGGAATGTATTTCTTAGGACAATTCCTTCACTCCCCATTTATGGATAATATAGAGTTATATATTATCGTTCCATTTGCGCTATCGCTTCAAATTCTATAAGATACATACCTTTGGTATCATCCCTCAAGATATTATAGGTCCTTTTTGGACAATCCCTCTCCTTGGAGTGCATCAAGTTTAAATTAGCTAACTTAATGATCATTCAATTGGATCAGTTGAACTCACTTTGATAAATAAATTTATATATTTATGTTTTCAGTTTATTAGTTTCTATTACTATAATTCTTTAAAATTTTCCTTTTTTGCTATATCACGCCTACTTGAGATTTAACCTCATGGGCTAATTGCCTTAGCACCAGGACCCTATCACCTACTTGATTGCCTAGTACCAAGCTAATTAAAAGTAATGACAATCAACTAACATCAATATCTATGACTACTTTAGCAATTGGAGGTTAAACCTTTAGAGGAATTTTAGCTTATAAAAGAAAACTAAATTTAACCAAAAAAATACTCCAAAAAATTTGGCTTTGATTATAAAATCTTCCATCATAAAATCCTCGCTCTTTCTCAATATTTATGAATTGAAATTTGTCTCTAAGGTTAAAAGTTTGATCCAAGTTTGAAAGTCACATGCCTACCTCACCTTATAGGATTCCAAGATTGCAATTTTTTTTTTAGTAACCAAGATTGCAATCTACATCAAGTAAACATCATAAGATTAATTTGATTCATTTTTAGTTCTTATTAATCTTGTAATCTTTCTTGTATTCATTCTTTATACCAAGACTTGGAGTACTTGTGTTTGTGCGAAAATTTTCGGGTTCCACTACACCATTTAGGAGAGTGTGCATTTGATACTTTTCTTGTTAGCTCATGGAGAAAATAAGGTATGGAGTAGTAGAATGCTATTTTGATGGTAGTGGATATAAGCTGGTTTTGTGTCAAACTTTTTAAAAGCTTTGAGTAGAAACTTTTTGTGTGTTTGCAATAGTTTCCCTATCTTCTTCATTGTGTTCTTAGGTAAACCAATTTTAGGATCAAGCTCAACTCTATGTCATCATCTATTTAACTTTGTGGGTGCTAATATTTTTGAATATTCATTTTCATCTATATTTCTTTTCTTTAATATAATAGACTTAAGGTACTTATCTACCATATCTTAATAAAAAAAATGTTCATCTAGCAGAAACTATAGGAAATTCTCAATTTCACAATCAATATTTCTCTGAAAGTACCAAATACTATGCATGTACTCAATTTTTCTGCAACGAATTCCAAGTTCGCTATCTTCTAAAATTGCTTCCATTTTTTATACCTTTTTACTTAGTTTATTAGAGAGATCTTAACTATCAAAATTATGTAATATTCTGATAGCAAAAGTCTTAAAGCAGTTCTTCTTGATCATCTTTTGTAGTAATCCCAAATCTAACATAAGCTCATATAAATATTATAACATTGATCATTAATGTAACATAGCTATTATTCAGAGCTCATTGTTTCCTTATCAATTCTTCAATGTACATTTTTTTTTTTAATTTTATGCTTCTTTTGAGACTTTCTTACTAATTTCTAAAGCAACATTTTAATATAAAAAATTCTTGGTGTAGAAATTTTTGTACTAGAAAGTTGCTTTCGAATTAAGTATCAAGAAAGCTTTCCCAAACGAACGGCTTTCTTATTGCTTCTTAAAGAGGCTTTTTAGTACAAAAATTAAAACTTTTGTGTGATGGCTTTTTATTGCTTCTTGAAACAAAATTTTAGTATAAATATAAAAATTTTTGTACTAAAATTATATTTTAAGATGCAATAAAAAGACAGTCCCAAAAGAAGCCTTAGTCACTTTGGTAGAACTTTGATCATTGATGCTCAAAAATTCATTCTAACGACACAAGATCATTAATCTGCTTTCTTTGCGATTTTTAAGGAAAAAAAAAAAACTCTTATATCAAAATTTTCATTGAATAAATTAATTTTACATCTATAAGAATATTGTCTACCATTGTTACAGTACTTCATGTGCCGTCCAGGAAATCAAACTTTTCTATATATATATTTTCTTCTCTAAAGGGAACAATGTCTTTCTCATCAAAGAAAAATAAGAACAGGTCGCTGTCCTTCCAAGACATAATTTACCGTTACTGCACAGTATGAAAATGTGTCTAAAATTCAAGAAGCAGCTAATAGTTAGCTAAAATATACAAGTTACCTCCCAAGAGAAATTCACCTCCTTAAAGAAGCAACAGTTACAAGAAAAAAGAAACGATTCTCTTATAGCTTTTGCTTGGGGTTAAGGGTTAATCCCACATTAATCACGCATCAATTACCGTTCACATGAGTGTCTCTTCAAGTCAAAATGAACGGTTTTATATGACAAAAGTTCCTTCCTTGCTCTGCCAAGTTTGAAGAAGATGACATTCGCCCATTTCTAAACTTTCATGCAAAAAACTCCAACGCATTGGCCTAAATATCCTCCATTACCCTCGCATAGTTGCCAAAAGAAGTGAAGATAGAAAGAAAGCGGCTTCCTTGCTTGAGTGTAGCTTACGCCACTATGTTCAATCACAGCTCTTCCTTTCTCCCTTGCCCTTTTCTTATAAAGAACCTCTCCTTTCCCCCCCCTCTCATGCAATTACTCACATCCACTTCCCTATTCTCTTCTTCCTTCAGTCCCTTTCCTTCTCTCAGCTCCATCAAAAATGGATTATGAATTCTGTTAAGCTATCCAATTTGGGCCTCTGTGGAGAGACCAAGTAGAGAAGCTTAATTACCTTGTGGAGATAGAAATGGAGAGAAAAGAGTTTATGCAGCATGGTCTGGTCAGGCTGCCCCCTGGTTTCAGATTCCATCCTACTGAAGAAGAGCTTGTTGTTCAGTACCTGAGAAGGAAGGCCTTCTCCTTCCCCTTGCCGGCCGCCATCATTCCCGAGATTGATCTCGGGAAACTGAACCCTTGGGATTTACCCTGTAAGTTTTTGGAGAAAGATTTCGTTATTTTATGAGCATGATGGTGTCTGTCTTAGTTTCAGTCTTATAGTTTGAACATCATGAATTAAAGTACATTTGGGCGGTTCTGTTGTTATAAACTTAGGTGGCTCTGGTGGGGAGAAATATTTCTTCTATCTTAGGGAGAGTAAGAGTGAACAAAAAAAAGGGAGAGTATCCTACCAGAAAGCAAGGTTGGGCTACTGGAAATCCATGGGGAAGGAGAAACCAGTCTTGGCTTCTTCTCATGGAAACGAATTAGTTGGTTTGAAACAAGTCATGGTCTTTTACAGAGGGAAGTCTCCTCATGGATCAAAAACAGATTGGATCATGAATCAGTACAGCCTCTCCAACAATGAACTTCTGAAGAGCTCAACCCAAGTAAGTTCTAATTACTAGCTGAGCTAAATTTTCATTTAGTTTAGGATGTTTATAGGATAATAATTCTTTCTTCAAACTGCCTTTTTTTTAATATTATACTCTTTCATGGTTGCAGAGTTTGATTGCTTCAAGCAAAGAGTGGGTAGTTTGTCAAATCTTTGTGAAGAGAAGAAGCATGAAATTGAGGGTGCGGAACTCAAGGCATGAAGAAAACCTTCAGATTCCTGCAACATCTTCTTCTTCTTCTTCTTCTAGCTGCATAACCGAAGATCTCTCTGATGAAGAAGAGTCTGTTAATGGAGAAGAAGCTATGAGCTAAATTCCTACTGCTTAGCCTATTTAAGTCTAATATCTTCAGCTCATGTGCACTTTATATCAAAGTTTCAATTTCAGAGAAATCATAAATTGAATCAACTTTGAGACATTTCATCTTAATAACATTAACAACCAGTTTGACTTCTGTTCTGAAGATAACATCATTGTGCAAGCAATCTAAAACTCAGATGACCAAAGTCTGAAATTGAAAAGGAAATGATATAATAATTACAACAGTAAGACCAAAAGGAAAATGGTTTTAGGAGTAAAGAGCCCTTTGCTGATAAAAAAAAAAAAAAAAGATGTGGAGACAAGAGGAGAGAAAGAAGAGATAAGGCACTTCATAGAATTAAAAAAAAAAAAAAAAAAAGAAGGAAAGGAGAAAGATAAGACGCAACTTCTCCATGTGGTATATGAAATAGATGCTTTTTAAGAGGAAACAGAAGAATAAGAGCCACATGGGTCCCTGTATTGGCACCCACCTTTAGCTAAGGAGATCTGCACTAGATTTTGATTTGAAAGGTGGGAGGTGGCAATCACAATCATGAAAAAACACTTTGCATCCTTGTTGCTCTCCATGTGAATTGAGGAAAAATATTTGTCAGGTGCAGAAACACAAAACCTTCAAAATCCTTAAATTTATATTAGAGTAATTTAAAATATCAGCACAGATCAAAGATTTTGAAGACCCTCCTAATATTTTCTTGCATCTGCATATCTCAACACAAAATTTTTCGTGTGATTAGTTAGCAAAGTTCAAATTTCTTGTTGATTGTTAACCATTCTAGGAACGATAACTCGGTAAGTAAGACTAAGGCTTCGTTTGGGCGGCTTTTTTATAGCTTCTTAAAGCAGCTTTCACTAGTGAAAGTTACTTTAAGAAGTAACAAGAAAATCATCCCAAATGAAACCTAAAGTGTCCAACTTTCATCCTAAAACAAGATAAAGAAAGGAAATTCAATCTTAATTAGCCAATTCACAATGATTCCACTTCATAATCTTAATAATAACATGAGTGTAAAGAAGATTGAATTAACAGTATTATGCAAATATGATGCATTTGGTAAAGTTTTTGCGCTCACAAAATCGGCTCATAAAAATTTTTCTAATTTTTTTTGGGGGTGCATTTAGGCCAATTAAGGCAAACTGACACACACATCACATACACAAGATTTGAATCTAAAATCTCTTAGTTGATAACCAAAACTCTCGACCAAAGGATGAGCTTCGTAAAATTCTCTGATTTCACAAGCAAAATGAATGTCCATCAGAATAGTGGTTACTTTATTCTTTAATAAGAAATCTAGCGGAAACAACAGAGCAATAACGAATGAACAATTGGTCTTCTAAAGACTGCTACCTCCACATTGCCAACACGGCAATACAAAATGAATAATTGGTCTTCAAAGAACTGCTGCATACATGTTGCCGGTGCTTCTCCCTCATCACCAAATCCAATTATTGCTTTTATTTGTTTTCTTTTTATAAGGTTGATAAAAACTTATGATATGAACGTCTGAATATTCCTACAAACTTGAAATTTATTTCAAGGAATATTAAAATTAGTCTCATATATTATAGCTGAGAATTTATTTGTTGGTGTAGAAATGATTGGCCCTTACTTGTAGCCATAAGCTGAAGTAAGAGGTAGCTTCATTTCCTCTTGATTAATTTCAATTGAAGAATGAAAAGATTTTTTTTTTTTTTTTAACTCAGTGCTCTTAATAAAATCTTTTAACTTTAATTTACTTAGCAATGAATTATAATATTAGTAAAATTCAATGCTCAATCTAGTTTGAGTTCACTAAGTTTCAATTATTCTTTAAGTACTTCATTCGGGCTTATAATCAAATCGAGCTTATTTACAAGATACATTCAAGGAGCACAAGTTGCTTAATTTAGACATTACTTAAGCACTTACATTCTCGATGAATAATCTATGATTGAGGCGGTCGATATGGGCTGTATGATAAAGTGTTTCTGATTTCTTCTATACTTACAAATAGTTTTATTTTCAAAAACTATAAATAGATCCATACTTACTACATAAAGGAGAGGGCAGTTGAAGCTTGAGGCTAATTGCATCTTAACATAAAATTAAAGAGAGCTCAACCATTGGATTACCACAATATGACCGCCATCATCAAACTACTGCATTTCAACCACCGTCAACAGACCATCACCAATGAAACACCTTCGCTAGACTACCACAATCTGACCAATGTCATCGAATATCTCCCCTTCAAGCACAAACTACAATCCTCAAACCACCATTGCCTATTATGATCCTCTGATTACAGTCGCACAAGTACAACCCTCTAACCATGCGCACTATGATACTTTAACCATTGTCCCACGGGCATGATCCTCTAACCACAAGACTTGACTACAATCTTCTGATCACAAATACCTGACTATGGTCCTCTGACAACCATTACCTAATAACAAGCCTCTATCCACTATCCCCCAATTATGGTCCTTCAACCACCATTAACTAATTGTAATCCTTTGACTATTATGCCTTTACTTTGGTCCACCAACAATTATTGCCAAAATATGGTCCTTCGATCGCTATCGCCTAACTATGATTCATTAATTACAATGGTCAAGCTATGGTCCTCTAACCACCATCATCACCAATTACAATCCTCATATTATCATCACCCAATTATAATCCTTTAACCACTATTGCCTGACTTTAATCCTCCCAGCACCATCTCTCAAATATGGTCCTAAGAACATTATCATCTAACTATAGTCCTCTAACAATCATCACCCTACTAAGATCCTATAATTATTATCATCAGACTAAGATCCTCTAATAACCATCACCCAACTAATGTCTTTTGACTACTACCACTATAATTCAATCATTTGCCCACATTCAATTTACTATGGTTCTCTAATTAACATTGTTAGATAATTACAATCTTTTGATTACTCTTTCCTAACTACATGTAACTACCCAAAATATAAAAACATATTTAAAAATAAAATGTTTGAATTTTTATTTGAACCGGAGCGTTGTGGCACTAAGCTTGAGAGCATGGCTATGCTAGAAATCACCGTCACAATGGTGAAGCCTCTATTTCTATTGTAATTCTAGATTTACCATATGATGTTGGGTCATAGCACTGCAATGCTAGGTCAATAATAGTATTTCTACATATATTAACTTATAAATTGCCAATCATTCCTTCTCCCTCCATCCATTCAGCATTGCCTTGGCCAAGAAGAAACTGAGGGAGGAAGAAGAGAAGTAGGAGGAGAAGAAAGAGAAGAGGAGAGAGAAAGGTCTTCAGGTAATAAGGAGTTGAGAAGATTGAATCATGTGATTCAATGAGAGTTAAAAGGAGTATACATATATTGGGAGTCATAAGGAGAGACTGACAAAGAGTCATAAGGGCAAGAGAAATATACAAGATACACCCATCTGAATATATGATAAAATACTGATTATTGATACTAATTACCTATTATTGATACTTATTTTTATACTAATTAATATTGATATGAACTATTATTACTGATACTATACAGTCATTTATCTTATGGACATTGATTTTTGTTACTGCTTACTATTATTAAATACGGATACTGATACTACTGTATAATTATATAATTAATAAACTGACAAGAATAATTGAATAATATGATTGCATGAAACTGATTGATTGATAAAGATAGAATAATTGATTAGTCGATATAACATGATGTGATGTATAATAGAATGAATTATTGATCTATTGATTAATATAGGTGACTAGTACATATAACATATATTGATTCATAAATTTTCTTATAGGATTTATAGCATACTATTTATCTTTTGTCTTGCATTGATTTCAATTGAAATATTTTAGTTATTTGGTGGGCTTTTATCTTCATTATGTGATTTTGACATGTTTACAAGAAAAGGGTATGGACTCTATGGCATGGGCACTGGACAGCATGCATAGTTTTCTTTCAACATTGCTAATTAGTTTTCTTTTAGTTCCTCTAGTTTACATATATTCTTTGTAGCTTAAGAAGGCTATTATATATCTTATTTTGGGAGCCTAGAAACAAAATATAAATATTGACTATAGAAATGTGGTTTATATTTATTGAGTTATCTTTAATGCGATTAATCAGCTCTGAATTTCAAATTGATCTTGTTGCAATTGAATGAGTTAAAAAGATAATAAATGAAAAGAAAAAAAAAAGAAAAAGAAAAGAAATTCTTCCACTTTAGATATTGGGGTGTGACACTATGGTCGTCCAACTAACATTGCTTAGCTATAGTTCTTTGACTATTATCCCGTGGTTATGGTCATTTGACCATCGTCACTAGAGTAATCTTCCAATCCTTGTCACCTGACTAGGGTATTCCAATCACCATTCTTCAACTATGGTACTCAGTCTGCCGACAACCGAATATAATCTCCCAACCATTACCACCCCACTATAGTCTCCTAACAATTATTTACTGACTCTACCAACATCTATTTACTTCATATCCTGTTCTTGTCAATAACTTCAACACACACTATCATATATAAAGTTGATGGATATTATCATCATAAAGACCGAAGCCCACAAACTTCATTGCGACTAACATTGGCGTATGCAGTCATTTATATAATCCATCCATATTATTAAGACCAACACTGACTTCTTGCATCAACACTCAAATTTATGTTGGAGTACTTTGTGGGTATAATCGCTGCTATAGTCAGCAATACTTCCTACCACCTACTCCAATGCTCTTAAAATCGCCGCAAAATGTTGTTGCAGTTCATTTTAATCACGGCGGCCTTGCAAAGGTTTTCAAACTGCGCAAGAAATATGGTGGCGCTGAAAATTGTCAGAAAAGCCTATTATTAATACTGCTGCGATAGCTCTTTTTTTTATAGGGCATGAACAACTTATAAAAATAGAATTCTAAATAGGATAACTTTCAATATTAAAGTATACATCTTGATCAAGTATATATTGCATTTATGCACTCAAACCCAAACTCATACAAGGAAACCTTATGCCGAAGTTTTAATAAGATTTTGATTAGTAATGAATGCCTTAAAATGTTTCTTTAGATCTAGTTGGGGAGATTTATATGTGCCAACAATATTATTATTATTTAAAAAATAATACTCAAATATTTAA